ACTCTCCAAGATTGCTTCCAAGCTTCTCTCCTTATCTGAGAAAATCCGTGAATTTCTCTCCTCCCAAACAGTCCAACATACTGCAGCCCTAACACATCTCCACATGATCTTGGCCCTTTGGGGTCCACCTGCACCCAAACAAAGAAGTAAGCCATTCCCAAATACCTTTAACAAACTGATAAGAAATTAGTAAGTGGTATCCAAACTCACCATCAGATTTATAGAGGACACACCAGTTAGGAGATAAACATCTATTGGGTCTTTTTCTTTGAAGTAAACCCCCTGTATTAATTCTTTCCAAGAAGGCTTCCCAACAAAGATTCCCAACCTTAGGAGGAATAGGTTGACACCACACCTCTTTAACCGGGAAGAACAAACCAATAGGAGAGGGGGGTAATAGGGCCTTAAAGAAGGAGGCACAAGTGTAGGACCCCGAAGGAGTGAGAGTCCAGATTCTATTATCTGCCTTTGTTGGAGCAAGGAAAACCCCATCCAAAACGGATAATAAGGCTGAAGACAATCTAACTCTGTGTCCCTGATAGCTCTTCTCAAACCCAGGTTCCAATGAAAACCAGAAGGTGAATTAGAAGGTACAAGGGAAGGAGGAAATTGGTTCAATTTTCATGGTAGAGATAGCAAAAAGGCCTTGAAATTGATCTTTCAAAGCGGAGTCCCCAACCCAAATATGTTCCCAAAATTTAGTGAGGTTACCTGAGTGCACATCATACCTTATCCAGGGAGAGAACAAGGGAAAAATAGCTTGAATAGCTTTCCAGGGAGATGCTCTTGTAGTCCTTGCAAGAATCCCAGAATCCCATCCATTATCTGCCGCTGTAGTAGGGGTTAGGAATGAGTTAGTGGCTACATACAAGGATTGATTGGGGTTGAAAGGTTTCTAGGTGAAATTTGGTATATAAAAACATGAAATTTAAACACTGTGCTTAGGGATGGAATTTTTTAATGAACTTTGTAGACTTTGAAGTAAAATTTTGTATGAAGAAAGGTGACCACAATCTATTGGGGGGGGGGGATATCAGGGCAATTGGATATGGTTTGGTCAAAAGGAAGAAATGGCAAATTATTGAAAAAAAAGGAATAAATGGCTGATACAAGAAAATTTGGGTTGTTGATGTATACTAAGGAATTACGTACCTATACCAATTTCAGTCCTTTAGGATGATGGATGGACTCTGATAAAGAACTTGTGGGTTGTTGATTGCTGTAACAACTGCTTGCATATGTAGAGAGAAGATAAAAAGAAAGTAGAGAGAGAAAGCCCTGAATCACTCAGTAGGGACCTAGAATCAGTCTAAGGTTTATGTGAGAAAATGATGTTTCAGCAACAAAATGTCAAAGAAAAATAAGTAAAAACGGTGCAGAAATCAAGTAGAGATTGTAGAAATAAAGTGGAAGAAGAAAAACAGAAAAAGAGAATGAGGAGAAAGACACTCTTAGTCCAATTATGTCTCAGTGTGAGATCCTAACTTTTGTATTAACTCCTCTAACCGAATATTGCAAACTGCCCTTAATAAGTTGACTGGAACAGAACTGCAAATAAAAATAAATAAAGGCCCAAGCCCACTAATAACTATATTACAAGGCCCAATAAAAACTAAATAAAGACAGCCCAACAAGAAACAATAATAGGCCCATAAACTGAAAAACTAAACGATACTTGTTTTTGATAACTCCTTTGGTGGAGACATCAGCCAGCTGCCTGTCTGTATTAACATAAGGGAGACAAACCTCTCTAGAAACCATATGTGTTCTAGTAAAATGTCTGTTAATTTCAGTATGCTTTGTTTTGTCACGTTATATTGGATAACGAGCCATGTTAATAGCAGCTTGGTTATCACAATACAATATTATAGGCTTGTCGTAGTCAACCCCAAGTTCCTCGAACAAGGATTGGAATCATACCATCTCTGACACACCATGTGCCATGGCTTAATTTTTTGCTTTAGCAGTAGAATGAGCCATAGCTGTTGCTTTCCAAGCAACCAAATGACTTGTCACAAGTAAAGTTTGTAATATCGCTGATATATTGTGAAATATAGGAAAATAGCTAGGGGCAATGTGAAACCATCCTGAAATCGTTTTTCCCCTGTATCAATGATATATTGCTTAAATTTTTCGAAAAAGAAAACAGACGGGTTGCATGCATATAATAGAGACTATAGAAACGAAATTCATTAGAGCATATGATAAAAGTAAGGAAAAATTCAGATTAAAGAGAAAAAGGAAATAAGAGAGTAAGAGAAGAGTATATAGAGGGAAAAAGAGCATCACAGATTGCAGAGTTTTCCATATTGATCGAAAAAAAATTGCAGTTTTCAAACTTACCTTCCGGTCAAGACTCGAGATTTAATAATAAATTTTTGTCTTGATACCTTTTTCCTCATTTTAAGTTGCAAATGTATGGGATCAAGAGTGTGAATTGTAGAAACTGAATCCTTGATTAGCTAATCCCATATCCATCTTCTCCAAAACCCTGAAGACTTGAGCTTTGGAAGGCCAATTCTGTGAGCTTTAACTCGCCTTCAAGCTTCGGGTGTATAACTTGCTATCTTTTACATTCAAAAAACCCAAATCTTCTGTTTGTTGTAGGCTGATAGGCTCCTTAGCTCAGTTGCAGTTTGGAGAATTGAGGAGAGGAAGTGAAACCGAAGTTTTCCCCCTTCTATTCTACACATTTATAACTTAAGCTTCAAGTTTTTAATTTGTAAATTGTAAAAATTTCTTTATATTCTTCTAAATTATGATTGAGTCCGTCTAGTTGCTAAACAGTCCATATGTAATTACATCTAAACCTTTCATTAATTATTATTGATTATGATAAGACCCTATAAATTTATAATTAAACATTTAAACTCTTTTATAAGTTTTTGTAAAGAAAAACATTTTATTGATGTGATAAAAATTTAAATGTATATATGTTCATTTTCAATTTTTTCTTTTTCTAAAAGTTCCCAAATATCTTATCAAGATTTGCAATATTTCTCTATTTCCTCATGGCGAAATGTCTATTGATATAAAAATTCTGAACCTTGGCCACAAGGATACAATAACCTGATGTAAACCAATGTTTTAAAACATGGAGGCATGACATGAGGCGTTTCACTGCTTGGAGGTGTGAGGCGTAGTTTCAAACATTAGAGGCATAAGCCTCTTGTGGAGGAAGAAGAGGAGAGATGAATGAAGATGGATAACAGTAGATGGGGGGGTATTATTGTCGAGATTGGTGAAATTTGTACTCACATCACTTCCTCAAACCAGTTGGCTGATATCCTTACAAAAGGAGTTCCTGCCCGCGTGCCAAGTTGAGCTCTGTTACAAGCTAGGAATGATATTTATGACGAAACTTGAGAGGGGGGGTGTTGGAGTGTGGTTTACTTTGTCATTATGCTATTTTTTGTATTTGTTTTATGTTCTTTTAGTGTTAGGGGTATTTATGTCTTTCCTCCTTTGTATTATGGTCGCCCTAATATAAAATAATATGAGGGGTTGCTGCTCACCCTATCTATTATCTTCAAACTGTTTAGGTGAAACTCATCTTCTAGGTAAATCTATGTTATATTTGTTGCACAATTTTTTTACCTATTGGGTTTCTCTTTAGTTTATTCATAGATGGGAAAGGTTGGGTCCCATCGTATATATGTATACATATAATGTTAAGACTTCAGTGAGGCTTTAGTGAAGCTGTTGCACTAAAAGTGTGCCAAAAGGTAGTTGTAAACTTGGGTCAGCTTGGGGTCGGCATTTGTGAAATTTTCAGTGCGCTTGAACCTGAATGCCCAATGTACTTCAAATTCTTCAAATTGGGCAATCCAAATAGCACCTGTGTTAAAAGATGAATGCCCGAGTTAAGATGTTAAGATCACCATATTTACAATGTACAAGTCCTGAAGCTTGTAGATTTATGTAAGAAATAATTTATGGGTGGTTTAGCCAACATGTTGGACAAATAGCATTAGTAAATGTGTGGAAATGCTTCAACAAAGATTCTTGTGTCTTTACATATTTTAAAGAATAACATGTAGCCGGAAGTATATACTTAATGTTGGAAGGGAAATGGTATGTGTTGGAATTGTGCAGAAAGGTTGTTCCCGTGATCCTCATCAAGGATCAAAGTTTTGCAATGTATCGAGGGGTGAATTGGGCATATCGTATCATTCCAGTTACACCCGGATCTGCCAATACTAAAGTGCTTTGGGTTTTCAGTCCATATTAGTGCAATTCTTGGTCTGGCATTTTCAGTACATATTAGTGCAATGGTGCATCTTTCTAGGCATAATCTAATTATGAACTCTAAATAGCACGTAAAAGTATAGTTGATAATTGGTTGAGTGCTTTGGATAAGTTTCAATTTTATATCTATTGAAAATTAGAAAAAGCAGAGAACTGAATGTAGTCATGGGACCTTCAGACTGTAAGAAAATTTTTGATGTTCATACACAGGGATTTTAATATCTAAAAGTTGAGCTTCTTGACTGGGTGGATATCATGAATACCATGACCTTATATTCTTATTCCTTGATCTACACATCAAATCATTACTGACCGTTAATTGGACTGTTGTTTCATACTTGAAAGCAATATTATTACACAAGTTTTTTCCTCTTTTTTCAACCCTTTTCCAAATGCACCATACAAATATTATTGATCAGGTAGCAAGGTGCCAACCAGCTGGTTGGTAAGGTCTCCTGCTGATCGTAGCAGTGACTTGGGATCGAATCCCGCCTGCACCTGGGTTGGGGGATGGGCTACCCCCCCGTTGTGTAGCCCTTCAAAAGATATCAAAAAAATATTATTGATCAGGTAAGTCCAGGCACAACTTTCTGGATATGGTTACGTTGCAATTATAAAGTAGTAAGGAAAAAAAGTGGTCTCAAATTTCTCCTACTGATTTAGTGGAATCTAATGGTTATTTCCTTGTAAGAAATGAGGTTTAAGCTCATCTTCTGTTGATGAAATAATGTCTAAGAATTGACTGGCCGCAGGAAAGTCAAGACACAAAAACAAAAGAGTTAGCTGGCAAGGGGCAGAGTGTTTAATATGTTCTTTCAACAGGTGATATGCCACTTTAGAGCCATGTTTGGTTGGACATGATTATCAGGCTTTCTGAACTTGAAATACTTTTGTAATGCAGGGCTTCAAGGCAAGGAGGTTGTGCATTAGAAACAATCTGTAGTAAATCTAAAAGATGGAAGGTCAGAAATTTCTTTGGCTGAAGGGATCTTCGTCCAAACCAATCAGCTAACAGAGTGCTGTCTGCTTACTGTATTGTAAACCATGCATCTCCTCAGAGGTGGTTTATTTGTATTAATCATTTTGTTCATGTTTTTAATTGAACAAGCACCAAATATAGTTGTTAAGAGAGACTGAGCTTGTGAATCCTGACAACTTGTTAAATTATTTTTATATGTAATATAAAGCAAGGTTCAAAGTGTTTGTATCACGAAGATTACTGAAAAGACAATTTTAAGAGACTTGTCAAGAAGCGGTTGGGAGGCTTGCGAGGTAGGGAAAGGCACGGAAATATATATAAGATTTGTACATGTTTTTCCTTCTTTCCTTTCCCTACCTTTTCCTTCAAACCAAACATAGCTTAATGGAATAAGGATCTGCTACCAATAATATGCTGCCAACATGTCCCAACCGGAAACTGCAGCCCACACATTGGGAATATCTCCCATGAATGACAATGTAGATATTCCCACTTCCCAATGCACAGCTGCAGTGGCGCTTGCAGCTTTGCATTGGGAATATCACGGAAATATTCCCAATTTACGGCTGTAAAAGCTATGAGACCGGTATAAACACGATTTTGAACTCTATTTTGACAGATGTTTAGACTATGGATCTGATTGAATGCACGGCACTGTCTACAGCAAACTGAATCCAGCAGATCCAGACTGTAAATAGTCAATTCATTTCCAAGGTGAGTCAGCGTAGCTTTCTGAGTAATCTAATATTGTACCGACTTTATTATCTATTTTTGTCATCCTTTTCAACCCTCTACATTAATCAAATAGAATTTGTGCAGACGCAACAGAGCTATTATCAATGGTTGAGTGAGCTAAAACCTTATATTGGCCTGACATAGTAGCAGTGCATAAATCTGAAATTGATCTTCAAAAATCTGAAAACTTACGGATGCCGTTGGCATTTAAAATTGTGGGCTGTAATGGACCCTATCCTAAACTCAAATTCTCAAGTTGGCCTTAGTTTGGGTCTTACCATTTAAACCTAACCTTTACAACTACCTCGAGATGAAATTCAGATTTCAAACATTTACTGGCTTATGGCAATCTACCAATATCTCTTTTTGGAAGAGGCAACAAAAACCAATCAAATTTCTAATCAACAAAAGGCACATCTCACTTCTTATAGATGAAAACCCAATTAGTGAATGAATGGATAATAATTGATACAATTGATGTTTAGAAAATCAGACCAAATCTATCGGTCTGACCAATTAAATTGTGACTGGGCCCTGACTAGTTTGGTTGTACCCCCAAAACTGGAATTGGTAAAAATTGGTCAAAATTGACTGATCAACAGGTTCAAATAAAGATTCAGTTAACCAGTCCCGATTTCGGATTTCGTAGAATCAGTTGGTTTTTTATCATTTTAATTTTACCTTATCTGCAAACCTTTGACGGCTATAATGCACTTGGTTATTTGATTGGGGTGATCTTTTTTTGGTAAAATTTCAAGATTTGTGCATTCCATGACACCAAAGGCACCTTGCAAACCAGTGTGAGCTTGTTTTACATTGCCAGTACCAGGCCTGAATAAAGGAGGAGGGTTGCGACGGGTTGGCAACCAGCACTAAAACTTTTGCCATGTAGCTGATCCCATATAATTGGAATAAGGCATGAATGATGATGATGATGCTAAAGATTACTTGCTTTGCTATTTTTGCCTAAAATGCCTTTTTTGGCCTCAAAACTTAATTTTTAATATAAAAAGTTGAAATTAAAATTAAAACATATGTTATAAAATTATACTTGCATTAGTTTTGATGCAGGTCATTAAAATAAAATTTGATTATATAATGTCAACTTATATCCCCCTTAATCCTTTATTTACATATATGCATAAGCATGTGGCCTTATACTGGTATATATAATATCAATTGAACCTCTAGACACAAACCTCTCCCTTCTTGGGTCGATGCCAGGTTTGGTTCTTTAAACATTGGATGAAACATGGTTTTCCCTTATCCTTGAAAAAGGCAATAAGAGGCAAACATGGCTTTCCTATGTGGTGGTAGATCAACAATTCCCTCCCATCAAGATGGAAGGAAACCTTTGGTTAGAAAAACGTTAGAGAATAATTGATGAAATAATTATAAATGGAAATATACCAATATCCATCTTTAGAAGAGGCAAGAAGAACTAGTCAAATTTTTAATCAACTAAGACATGTATAACGTCTTATAGATGGGAACTCAATTAATTATTGAATGGAGAATAATTGATAAAATCAATGTTTAGAATATCAGATCAAATTTGTTGGTTAGACCAATTAAAATGTGACTCGGCCCTTGGCTAGTTTGATCATACCCACCAAAACTGGAGCTAATAAAAAATCAACCAAAATTGAATGATCAACCCGTCCAACTAAAGAATTGGTGAACCAATCCCAATTTTGTATAATTGGCTGTTTTTTTGTCATTTCTATTATACCTTATGTGCAAATAACTTCTGGAGGCCATAATGCACTTGGTTGTTTGATTGGGGTGATATTTCTTTTTTATTTTATTTAAATTTTAGGCAACTTTTCACGATTTATGCATTCCATGACAGCAAAAGGTGCCTTGCTCCACTATATTTGCCTAAATTGCCTTTTTGGCTTCAAATCTTAATTTTTAACATAAAACGTTGAAACTAAAATAAAAAAATATATATACATTATAGTAGAATGCAATTATATACTTGGAACACACACATGCACACACAAGTGTGCACGTGCTTTGCATGTGGCAATTTTTTATGATGATGACGGTAAATGATATGTTTCTAAAATTTTCTAAATTTCTTATTTTTGTCAATAAAAATTACTTATTTTTACAGTTACTTTTCTTTTATATGATGAACATATGATATTACAGATGTGTTCAAATGTTTTCTACAAATTATTTTATATTTTTATACTTTTTTTCATGTTTTCATTATTTTTTAGTTTTATTATTTAATTATGACATCAAGGGTTAACACATTTGACCCAAAAGTTAAATTCTTGACTCACCACCAAACAGGAAAGTAACTCCCTTTTTAGGTTGGTATTAAATTTTTATTTTATTTCCATCACCAATAACACACTTATTTTTCTTTAATATGGTTAATTATATAAAATATTAGATATACCCAAATGTTTTTCACATAATTTATAATTTTTTGTGTTTTTATCTTATTTTAATTTTTATTATTTAATTATGGCATCACGGGTTGAGATATTTGACCTAAAAGATTGAATTGTTGATCTACCACCAMATAGGAAAACAATTTCACTTGTCGGTTGGCATTAAATTTTGTATTTTATTTTCGTCATTAAAAATAATTTGTGTTTATTGTGTTTTATTTTTGATATGATTAATATAAAATATTAGAGATGTGTCCAAATATTTTCTACAAAGTTTCTATATTTTTAATATTTTTTTATATTTTTATCTTCTTTTTTTTTATTTAATTATGAGAGTATAGATCAAGGGTTGACACATATGACCTGAAAGGTTAAACTATTGACCCGCTACTAGAGAAGCAATTCCATTTTTGGGTCAGTTTTAAATTTTTATTTTATATCCGACAACAATAAAAACAACTATCATTTATCACACTTATTTTTTGTTATTATAATTATTTTAAACAGAACTTAAATTAATAAAAGTTAGTTTAAAAATTAATAAGTTTCTCATAACAAAGTTAATTTTATAAGGTTACTATTTTGTTATTAATTTTATTTATAAAACTAATAAATTACTTTTATATATAATATTAGTAATTTAATTGTATTTTAATTATTAAAAGTTACTATAAACTATTATTATTAACAAAATTGAATTAATTTTTACAAATTTTTGTAGTTTTTAAATATGACGTAAATGGATTAAAACTATTACTTTTAAAGCTTTATTAGTAATAACAATTAATAATTATACTACCTAATTAAGTTAGTTAGGATTGCTTAACCACATAAATAAGATACCTAATTAAATAGGTAACTTAAAGCACGAGCTTGTTAAAAAATTTGAACTTACAACTATTGTATAACATATGGATTAATTGGCATGAAACTAATGGACCCTTATGTACTATACTAGTATGGGTCCAAAATCAAAAAGGACCAATATCTAGGGGGTGCAACTTGAGCGAGCAAAGCCTGAATCTGGACTGATCTAGCCAATAAATTTACATGGGTTAGGCTTGGAATTTTGGTCCTTAGGTTGGTTATTGGACTAAATGTTTGGGCATTCTTAATTTTTGGGGTTGGGCCTAGCCCTAGCCCTTGGGCAACGTGAGCCCAACTCAACCTTATCCCAACCCGGAACCCAAGCGAACTATATACATACGTACATGCACATATAGACACATTATTTGCACGCATATACAAATATATAATTTTAGTCTGTGCTTATTGAGTAACCCAAGCCTGGCAGTCCAGGCCCGAGCCCAACCTGAGTACATCAAATTTTAGTCTGGGTTGGGCTTGACTTGGACAGATCCGATTTGACCTCAAGCTTGGGCCTTAAGCCCAATTCTAAGGGTTGGGCTTGGGTTGAGCTTAATTGTTTTTATTTTAACTACTATTAAATTATGCTACCTAACTAATTAAGTAAATAAATGTGAAAATTATTTTACTTACTTTGATATTTTACTTAAATAAGTCATTAAATATGGTAATTTACTATTACATTACTTTTTCAAACAATTTGATAACTAATTAAGTATTGTAAATTTACATAAATTAGGGCAATTTTCAATAATATTTACCATAGTTAACAATTTAAGTAATTGTCAACAACAATTAAATTATAATTACTATAAAAAATGTATAGTAATTAAAAATAACAATAGTTATAATTTAARTAATTCATTAAATATGGTAATTTACTGTTAATATTGTCTTACGGTAATTTGCTTTTAATAATTCATTTGCATCCATAGAAAGTTGGGCGGGTTAGGCCTAATTTAAGCTCAACCTAGACCCAACCCTAAGAATTGGGTCTAAGGCTCAAGCCTATGCCTGATCTATCCAATCTAGACCTAATTGCACTGGAATTTGATGAACTTGGCCTGGGCTCGGGCAAGGGGCTGATCTCTTGTTGCTAAATCAACCCATACTATAATTTGGTATAAATGTATGTGTTTATGTGTGCATATGCATATGTAAATATGCAAATATGTCTATATTTGTACATAGTTGGGTTGGGCTCAAGCTACCTAAGGATTA